CAGCCCCACCGCAACTTCATCTACAAAAAACATGCAAAAAAGAGCGTGACCAAAAGACAACACCTCAATAAAATTTTTTTAATTTCATCTTTGTGGAGGTACATCTTATCTTATGACACGATGACCCCGATATTGATCGACACATCTGCCATCAGAAGATGATCTTATTGTTTACTGTTTCAATAATTTACTTAAGGTTTTATTAAATATTGATAGTTGCTCAGAACAGCAAATAGCAGACATTATGCCAGCAGAAAAATAAGATAATCTTCACAAAAATTTAAATGCCATATTTTACATTTAATCACAACTGCCTCCAGCTCGTTGGTGTTTTGGGTTTCTTAAAATAACGTCATGGTTTCATTTTTTAAATAAGATCATTTATAATATTGACAACAGTACATTACAGTAATAACGCCCTCCGGCTAGCTGCGGTACAGTTAGCTGGGTAATGACGATGGTGATGAAGATGATGATGATGGTGGTGGCTGTCTGCACGTTCAACGTTTAAAGTGTTTAGCCAAACAAATGTTTTTGCTCACTCACCTCCTCCAGCTGAATTAATATTTCCAATATTTCGGTTAACTGTAGCTCAAGCGGATGGGTTTGTCATCCAGTGTTTCGGCGCGAAGAGTCCGCTATGAATGAGAGCGATAGCCAGTGTTATCAGAAGCGCAGGATGCCACTGACTACCACCCCTCTGCGATAAAAACCCCTTCCACAACACCTGTCAAAATAAAAGTCCCATTTATTTACGCAAAATAAAAGTCCCCATCATATATCCAGGCATGAATTCGGAACCGCATACTAACCTACTACTTTTACCACATTGTTACATGGTAGAATGCTGGCACGCGGTTCCAAATTCAGCAATTATTTAGATGCGGTCATCTGCTCCTCTATGATAAAATCCACTTCCGCATCACCTATCAAAATAAAGGTCCCGTTTATTTACCCAACCTTTTCTGACTTTATGTACCTTTTATACACTCCTCTGACTACTGTGATTAAAACAACAGTAGTTTTATTACTCTATATGTTTTTCTGTATGTTTTCACAAAATAAAATCGGCTTGTGCATCACTTTAAAAGATTTAAAAGGGTCAATCTAATCACACCCATTTTTAAAGGCAAGAACTGCACTGATTCAGCATCCCGTTTTTAATTAACATGTTAGGAGCTTAAAAAACGGACTTAAGAGTGTATGTTGAGTCTATATTATAAATACATCCATATATGTATATATGCTCCATTAACAGCATTCTGTAATGATGTTACAGAAAAGATCAATACACATTTGAAGTTTTTTTATTTATTTATTTGTTAAAATTTTAAGTGTCTGGGTAACA